AGTGTTACAGAGCTCTTAGATCTGCCCAGTAAGGCTCTCCCCTCTAGTCGTCCAGCAAACTTGGGCAAAGGCTCTCTGGTTCTGTGAAGTAGCAGCCCCACGGTCGGCTCTGTGTCTCATGTCAGTGCTCTTCTTCTCTGCTGCATTTGCTCTGCTCTTCATGTAGATCTGACTGGCATAAAAACCTCTGACCTGGAGGAGCACGCAGTGCATGCCTGCTGCCGCTTTCCTGGTGGTGAGATGCTCAAAATCTGTTGCTGCCCTGTTGATTTAGTGAAGAGACCAGCCAATCCTGTTGTGCATAGTCTTAACACACCCTATTTGCATTTTCCCGACCATCCACGTGACAGAAGTAGTTGGTGGCTAGGGAAGCTGTTTTGAACAACATGTCGTTCGCACCACAGCTGCTTTAGAAGATAGTTCCCCACTTCCTTGGGTGTTAAAGCAGTGACTGTTGTTAAGTGTTTTCGAGTCGTAGGTGACTCATAGCGACCCTATGAAGGAAAGTCCTCAACACTTGTGTGACTTTCATCCTTTCTCCAGGTTCATAGGGTTTACAGAGGCAAGCTGTTAAGGAAGTGGATGCCACTCCTGCTTCCAAAAGCAGTGACTAGATTGGAAAGACTCATTGAAAGCCTGAACTAGATTAGCTTTATAACTTTTTCTAACCTGACATTCTATACAGTTTGGTGTCAGTATCACTTAGATGATTGTGTAGCCATTAACCTGTAACTCATACTATTGTATTTTCAGTTTGATTATTGTATTGTTAAATTTTGAATAATTTTTTTTTATTTTAAATAAATTTTTATTATTTTGTTCAAAGTACCTTTTGTGTCATGGCCTTGACAGACAGATGTAGTGGCATCCTCAGGAACCATTTCTTTGGCTGAGGGTGGTTGTATTAAGAATAAAGCAAATGAAACCCACAGCCCTTGAGGCCATTCTAACACATAATGACTGTAAGAGTACAGTCCACTCCTGTAGTTTCCAATGTTGCATATCATTTTGGAAGCTGACTGCCTCATCCTTTTCCTGCAGAACTCTGGTGGGTTCGAACCACAGACCTTTGGTTAAGCTAAGGCCACAGAACTACCAGAGTTCCAGCAGGAAAGACAAAATTCTCTTCAATTCATATTCAAATATTTGAGGAAGTTGATTCTTACGCTTGTACAATATAAAACAAGCTGAGGCTACTTGAGGAGTATATGTGTTTGACACACAAAAACCCTACCCCAAAATAAAAATAAAGCTCAATATCGGCTGTGAAAACTAGGCCAGGTGCTGAGTGTGAAACAGACCATCAACTACTCATATGCAAGTTTAAACTAAAGCTAAAGAAGGTTAAATCAAATCCTCAGGAACCGAAATTTGACCTTGAGTCTATCCAACCTGAATTTAAAAATGATCTAAGGAACAAGTTTGAGGTCTTGAACAGTAATGAGCAAAGCCCAGATGAAGATGAGCTGTGGGAAGAAACCAAGAATATCATCTTCAAAGAATACAAATTAGGAAGCAAAGACCGAGATGAATGTCAGAATAGACTTTAAATATTGCACTAGAGCACCAAGAAGCCAAGTCAAAGGGAAGAATGCCTGAAATTAAGGAGCTGAATGGAAGATTTCAAAGGGCGACTTGGAAAGACGAAGTATTACAATGATATGTGCAAAGACTGGAGTTGGAAAATCAAAAGGGTCAAACTCATTTGGCATTTAAGGTGAAGGAACTAAAGAACAAATTCATTCTCGAGTTGCAATACATAAGAATGCTGTGGGCAGAATAGTGAATAATCCAGGAAACATTAAACAAAAATGGAAGGAGTATACAGTGTCCCTGTACCAAAAGAATTGGCTGACACAGAAGAATTTCCTGAAACCACATATGATCAAGAGGTAATGGTGACATCTTACGGAATTAGCAAAAAACAAAGACCCAGGTATTGGTGGAATACCAAGTGACATCTTTCAACAAACAGATGCAGCCCTGGACACACCCGGTTGTGCCAAGAAATCTGGAGGACAACTACCTGGTCAACTGACTGGTAATGTTTATTCCCATTCCAAAAAAAGGTGACCTGACATAGTGTGGAGGTTATTGAGTAATATCGCTAATATCACAGCCAAGCAAAATCCTGCTGAAGATTATCCAAAACATCTGGAACAGTATATTGACAGCTACCAGAAATACAAGTTGGGCCAAATGGCCATCAACCAATGAATAGATTGAGAAATAGTGGTACATTTGTACAATGGAATACTATACAGCACTAAGGAGCAACTATTTAGTAAAATACTATATAGCATGGCATAATCCTGAGACAGTTATGCTGAATGAACTAACTTAGCACCATAAAGACAAATACTGCATAAGGCCATTATTGTAAAAATAGAATAACTAGTTAGATGTGTACAAACAACCGAAAGGGAATGGCGAAGTGGGAGAGGAGTAGGAAAAGAAGATGGTGGAAATCACTAGAATATCAGAGTTTAGTGAGTGGATGGAGGTGTGCGAAGGAATAGGAAAGATTTAATAGCGACTCAAAATCAGAGAGTAATAATAGACATAGATCAATAGTAATTATATAAAATAACAATGTACATGAATGATTCTGTAAAACACAATGTAAAGGAAAGATTACATAAAACTCCATGTACATGAATGAAACACAAGGTAAATGAATTATTATGTGCAAACCAATAACAAAAATTAAATACAAGCTGGGTTTAGAAGAGGCCGTGGCACTAGAGACGTTGTTACCAATGCTAGATGGATCTTGGCTGAAATCAAAGAGTACCAGAGAGATATCTATCTGTTTCATTGACTGTGTAAAGGCATTTGACTGTGTGGGTCACAATAAATTATGGTTAACTTTGAGAAGAATGGAAATCCCGGGATACTATTGTGTTCATATGAAACCTATACTCACACCACGAAGCAGTCCTCAGAACAGAGAGCTAAGGTAACACTGCATAATTAAAAATCGAGAAAGGAGTGCATCAGGGACATGTCCTGTTTCCATACCTTCTCTATCTGTATGTGGAACGGATCATTCAGGAGGCTGGGCTTTATGAGGAGGAAAGTGGCATCAGGTTTGGAAGAAGGCTCATCAAAAACCTACAGTATGCAGATGACACAAACTTGCTTGCTGAAACTGAGGAGGATCTGAACGCTTGCTACAGCAAGTCAAGGAGTGTCGTCTTCAATATGGTTTGAAGCTTAACATCAAGAAGACAAGAATTCTCACCACTTGCCCAATTGGCAGCACCATGATGCAGATGAGAATGAGGTTATTAACAATTTCAGCTTGCTTGGCTCCACAATCAATACTCTGGGCACCAGCAGGCAGGAAATCAGAAGAAAAATTGCACTGGGCAAGTCTGCTATCAGGGACCTCTCCAAAATAGTGTGATGTCAGTCTAGAAACTAAGGTGTGCCTGATCCAGGCAACGGTCTTTGTAATTACTTGGTGTGCATCAGAGAGCTGGACAATGACTAAGGATGATAGGAGCAGAATTGATGCCTTTGAGTTGTGCTGGAGAAGATTATTGAACATACCTTGGACTGCTATGAGAACAAACAAGTCTGTCTTGGAGAGGGTGAAACCAAGTGTTTCCTAGAAGGCAAGGATTTTGAAGCTCTGTCTCATATACTTTGGGCATTTGGCCAGGAGGGAGAGAGCAGTCCTTGGAGAAAGACATTGTGCTTAGGACGGTGGAGGGACAGAGCTGCAGAGGAAGACCCTGGATGAGATGGATTGACACAGTAACTTGAGTAATGGGGGCAGATGTGTCAGAAACAGTGAGACTGGCCCAGGATAGAGCAGGGTTCAGAGCTGTTATCCATAGGGTCGCTATGAGTTGCTGGTGACTTGATTGCACATAACAACAGCAACAACAACAACAGTCATACCAACATTCTTTCTGAAAAAAGATAAAAGGTTTTAGGTAAAAAGTATATGCATGAGGTCCCGGGTTCGATCCCCAGCATCTCCACCAAAAAAAAAAAAAAAGTATGTGGTAGATGAACTGTTTCAGGCCTAGGTGCTAATTTTAAATAGATCTGAATTTTAACGCCAAAATTTTCACATGCCAGATAATTATAAGTAGTATAGTCTAGATTTTTTAAAGACCATTTTTTCTTTTCAATTTATTTAAAAAAATATTATTTGTATGTGTGCTAGGAAAACAAACAGATTTGTCCTGGAAAGGGTTAAACCGGGTGGCTCCTTGGAGGCAAGGATTCTGAGGCTCCATCTAACATACTTTGGACATGTTGTGAGGAGAGACCGGTCCTTGGAGAGGGACATCATGCTTGGGAGGGTGGAGGGACAGCGCAGGAGAGGAAGGCCTTCTATGAGGTGGATTGATTCAGTGACTGGGATAATTGGGATGGGAGTGTCAGAGACAGTGCGATTGGCACAGGACAGAGCGGAGTTTAGGGCTGCTGTACATAGGGTCGCTATGAGTCGCAGGCGACTCGACGGTACATAACAACAACAACATGTGTGCGTGTACCATCAAATCGGATCTGACTGGTACAGGAGGAGATTGTCCCTCCTCCAGCAGAACATCTGGTGGATTCAAACTACACGCCTCTGGGGATTCCAGTGCAGCTTCTTGCCACTAGGCCACCAGAGCTCACCTACTCTAGCTTTTTTAAAAAATCTATTAAATAGGTATAATCACCTTACCAAAAATTTCTAAACTAAACCTATTTTCATTGAGTTAGTTCTGTCTCCTACTGACTGTTTGGGACACAATAGCACTGCTCCCCCCAAGTCCAGGGCTGTAAATCCTTGTGGAAGCAGCTCCTGGAGTCTCCTGCAGAGCAACTGGTGAGGTGAACTGCTGACTTTTCTGTTAGCAGCCTGTGCTTTTGGCCACTGCCGCAGGGCTTTGCTAACCTTGCTTCCCTGAGCAGAGACGGAACACCTAATAACAAGGGAGGCATGGCTTCCTTCTGCGTCCTCTCAGGTCTGAGCCAGCAAAGCTGTGCTGGCCATGGTTATTGACCGATGTGTCTGTGTTAGGGATTGTGCATTTGAAAAGAGGCTTTGATTGTGAAGGACGGAACCGGGCTTGGAAGACAGATCCAAGCCCCACCTAGAAGCAAAATTTTTAATGTAGTGTAAAATTTGAAAATGTTCATTACAGATTAATAAGTGAGATGAGTAAGCCCATACTTATTTTTGCCTTGTTGGTAATTCACCCCTGTTAACTGATGGAAAAAGAGCTGATGTAGAGGGAAGATACTAAGTTCAAAGTGGTTTTCTGATTTTAATTTTCAAGACAGAATGTTAAATTCTATTAAAAGCATAAAATGTTAATGTGGAACATAAATATGGATAATTTGGTCCAATGCCATAATTTTACAAATGGGGTTGATAAGATCTGAAAAAATCCAGCTTACAGAACAGTTGGCAGTTAAAGTCCAGAGATTTCTTTCCTCCTTATAGAAGCCTCATCATAAAATAAGAAAGTGCTTGTAGACATGTAAAGATGTTTCATTAGGTTTAGATTTATTTTCTGGAAAGTATTTCAAGAGTAGATCCTTCTTAGAGATACCACGGAAAAAGAATTCTTCTGAAAGATTCCAAGGTTTTGCAGCTGAGTCAATATCATATCAGTTTAAAAAATTTTGTCCAGATGTGGGCGATGCACTAACTATTACTCGTTGGCCTAGTGCAGTGTGTGTTGATTTCATTTATAGCAAGATTTCGGTAACATTCTCAATTTAACTTTTATTTTTAGAATGTAAATAATTTCCCTAAACATCTGCTTTGTTTTCTAGATGTCTCCTGAAGAAAAAGTTTGTAAGTACTGTGGAGTCAGCTATCTAATTCTTCACGAGTTTAAGGCTATGGAAGAAAAAGTGAGAGCAATGGAGAAAGAGATGACATTTTATCAAGGAAGCGTGGACCGTGAGAAAAGACTGCAAGAAAAACTACAGTCTCTTAGCCAGGATTTTCAACAGTACAAGATTGCCAGTGAATCTGAAATAGAAAGGTTGGAATGTGTTAATTCATGTCGATTATTTGTTTTATTTGAAGAAGAGTACATAAAATTAATGTCTGAATTTTTTTCTGAAATTGACATTGATTAGGTATACTTCATACTTTTAATGCATATGAATTTGTTTATATTAAAAATTACTAATAAAATGTTAATTATGATTTAAAGCATTCCTTTGAGCCATATGTTTATTATCAGAAAAATTAACAGCGAATTTATTTGGTAGATATAAGTTGAGAAAGATTTGTTTTTGGTTTTGAGGGGGGGGCTTTGCCCCTTGATATGTTGTTGTTGTTGTTATGTGCCGTCGAGTCGCCTGCGACTCATAGCGACCCTATGTACAACAGCCCTAAACTCCGCTCTGTCCTGTGCCAATCGCACTGTCTCTGACACTCCCATCCCAGTTATCCCAGTCACTGAATCAATCCACCTCGTAGAGGGCCTTCCTCTCCTGCGCCGTCCCTCCGCCCTCCCAAGCATGATGTCCCTCTCTAAGGACCGGTCTCTCCTCGCAACATGCCCAAAGTAAGTTAGACGGAGCCTCAGAATCCTTGCCTCCAAGGAGCCACCCGGTTTAACCCTTTCCAGGGCAAATCTGTTTGTTTTCCTAGCAGTCCATGGTATTCTCGATACTCTTCTCCAGCACCACAGCTCAAAGGCATCAATTCTCCTATCCTCCTTGGTCATTGTCCAACTCTCTGATGCATAACAGGTGATTACGAAGACCATGGCCTGTATCAAACGCACCTTAGTCTCCAGAGAGACACCACTGCTCTTCAGCACTTTGGAGAGGTCCCTAACAGCAGACTTTCCCATGGTAATGCGCCTTTTAATTTCCTGGCTGCTGGTGCCAAGACTGTTGACCATGGAGCCAAGCAAACTAAAGCTGTGTACAATCTCAATCTCTTCACCATCCATCCTGCTGCTGCCAGTTGGTCCAGTGGTGAGAATCTTTGTCTTCTTGACATTGAGCCTCAATCCATATTGTAGGCTGCAGTCCTTGACACTCTGCAGCAGGCGCTTCAGGTCCTCCTCAGTTTCAGCAAGCAGGGTTGTGTCATCCACATAATGCAGATTGTTGATAAATCGTCCACCAATCCTGACCCCACATTTCTCCTCATAGAGCCCAGCCTCCCGGATAATCTGTTCTGCATATAGGTTGAAAAGGTATGGAGATAGGATGCATCCCTGGCGTACGCCCTTCCCAATTTTGAACCATGCAGTGTTTCCTTGCTTTGTTCTGATGACTGCCTCCTGGTCCAAGTATAAGTTTCGCATTAGAACGATCAAGTGTTCTGGGATTTCCATTCTTCTCAGAGTCAGCCACAGTTTATTACGATCTACACAGTCAAATGCCTTTGCATAGTCAATGAAACACAGATAGACATTCCTCTGGTATTCCCTGCTCTCAGCCAAGATCCATCTAACATCAGCTACAATATCTCTAGTACCACGACCCCTTCTGAAACCAGCCTGGACTTCTGGTAGTTTTCTGTTGATGTGCTGTTCCAATCGTTTTTGGATAATCTTCAGTAAAATCTTGCTTGCATGTGAAATCAGTGAAATTGTTCTGTAGTTTCCACATTCGGTTGGGTCGCCTTTCTTTGGGATAGGAACAAACATAGATCTCTTCCAATCAGTTGGCCAAGTGGTCGTTCTCCAGATTTCTTGGCACAACTTGGTGAGCACATCCAGGGCAGCATCTGTTAACTGAAATATGTCAGTTGGTATACTATCTATTCCTGGAGCCTTATTTTTTGCCATGACCTTCAAAGCAGCCTGAACTTCTTCTTTCATCACCATAGGCTCTTGCTCATATGTTGTTTCATGAAATTCTTCTGTGTCTTCCAATTCTTTTCGATACAGTGACTCAGTATATTCCTTCCATCTTCTTTTAATACTTTCGGGATCATTATTAGCAAAATTTGTTTAGTAAATAACAGGTGACACTTGGTAGTTTTTTTTTTAATTTGATACTTGTTTTTCAATGGTTTTGCCGTTTTTGATGTATAGAATAAGATTTTCATGTTTTTGTATGATACCAAAGTGTGTTAATATTGATGAATAATTTTAGATCATTGAAATGAGAAGAAAATTAAGTAAGGAATGGGTGGTGCTGGAGAATTGTCTTGAACATACCATGGACTGCCAAGAAAATGATTAAGTCTATCTTGGAGTGAAACCAAGTTTCTCCTTGGAGGCTAGGATTTTGAAGCTCTTATCTCACATTCTTTGGGCATGTGGCCAGGAGGGACTGACTAATCCTTGAAGGACATCATACCTAAAAGGGTGGACGGAAGTGCAGGAGAGGAAGACCCAGGATGAGATGGATTGATAACGGTAACCAGGACAATGGGGGAAGGTGTGTCAGAATCGGTGAGACTGGCTCAGGACAGGCTTCAGAGCTGTACTACGTAGGGTCGCTGTGAGTTGCATGTGACTTGATGGCACATAACATCAACAACACAATAACGAGGAACAGGTTCCTAAGACTATAGAATCTAATTAGCAATTTAACCTTCCACAAACATTTAAAGAACTTGTCCTACTCTTCTTGGTGGTTTTATGGCTGTTCTTTTTTTTCTAGAAATAAAAATATCTCAATTTAAAGTATTGACAGCTGGTGTTAGTAAACCTTGAGTTTATTAATTTAATGACTGTTATGTTCATGTAAAAGTTGGGCATGTTATCAGCAGAGACCAGTGCTTGGAGAAGGACATCATGCTTGGAAGTGTAGATGATCAGCACATGAGAGGAAGAATATATGGGATGGATTAACAGTGACTGTGGCAATGGGATCAGGTGTGTTGGGGATGGTGTGATTGGCTCATAACGGGGCAAGGTTCAGAGCCCTTGTTTATAGCGTCTCTATGAGTCGTAGTCCACTGGACAGCACATAACAGCAGCCGCAACAACATGTTAATTTAAGAGTAGAACCTTTTAAAGTGTCCCAACATTATTTACTTTGTTGTTGTTGTGTACTGTAAAGTCAGAACTGACCTACAACTGACCCTCCAGCGGGTTTTTAGAGGCAGTTAATTGCAGGGGAGGAGCTTGCCCATCCTTCTCCTGTTATTTTTTTTCTTGTACTTTTTAATATTGTGTTGTTATTGTTATATGCCATCGAGTCACCTGCAACCCATAGTGACCCTTTGTACAACAGCTGTGGAGACTGCCCTGTCCTGAGCCCATCTCACTGACTCTGACACACCCACCCCCATCGCCCCAGTTACTGTATCAATCCATCTCATCGGGGTCTTCCTCTCCTCCACTATCCCTCTACCCTGCTGAGCATGATGTCCTTTTCCAAAGATCGGTCTCTGCTGGTCACAGGCCCAAAGTATGTGAGAGTGAGCTTCAAAATCCTAGCCTTCAGGGGGAAACTTGGTTTTACCCTCTCCAAGACAGATCTAGTTTTCTTGGCAGTCCATGCTATATTTTATTCTCTTCTCCAGCATCTCAACTCAAAGACATCAATTCTTCTTCTATCAAACTTAGTTATCATCCAGCTCTCTGATGTATAGCAAGTAATTGTGAAGGCCTTGGCCTGGATTAGGCATGTCTTAGTCTCTAGGCTGACACTGTTTCTTTTTAATACTCTAGAGAGGTCCCTGACAGCAAATTTACCTAATGCATTCATGTTTTGATTTCCTGACTGTTGTTGGTACCAAGAGTGTTGATTGTGGAGCTGAGCAAGCTATAACTGTTAACAACTACAATCTCCTTTCCATCTATCATGGTGCTGCTGATTGGCCCAGTGGTAAGAATATTTGTCTTCTTGATGTTAAGCTTCAATCCATATTGAAGACTACAGTCCTTGACCTTCTGCAGCAAGCGCTTCAGGTCCTCCTCAGTTTCAGCAAGCAAGGTTGTGTCATCTGCATAAGGTAGGTTGTTGATTAGTCTACCTCCACTCCTGATGCCACATTTCACCTCATAATGCCCAGTTTCTGGAATCATCTGCCTATAAATTCCTCCCTGATGTACTCCTTTCCTGATTTTGAACCATGCAGTGTTTCCTTGCTTTGTTCTGAGGACTGCTTCCTGGTCCAAGTATAGGTTTTGCATGAGCACAGTCAAGTGTTCTGGGATTCCTATTTTCCTCAAGGTTAGCCACAATTTTTTGTGATCCACACTGTCAAATGGTTTTGCATAGTTTATGAAATACCGATAGACATTCCTCTGGTACTCTTTGCTTTCTGCCAAGATCCATCTGACATTGGTGATAATTTCTCTAGTGCAATGGCCTCTTCTAAACCCAGCTTGTATTTCTGGTAGTTCTCTGTCAATGTACTGTTCCATTCATTTCTGGATAATCTTAAGCAGGATTTTTCTAGTGTGTGATATTAGTGATATTGTTTGATAATTTCCACACTCCATTGGGTCACCTTTTTTTTGTAATGGGAATAAGTATAGATCTCTTCCAGTCAGCTGGCCAGGTAGTTGTCCTCCAGATTTCTTGGCACAACCTTGTGAGCACTTCCAGGGCAGAATCTGTTTGTTGAAATATGTCAATTGGTATTCCATCAATTGCTGGGGCTTTATTTTTTTGCTAAGTCCTTTTATATTGAGTACTATTTGAATCAGCTATTTTCTAGGTACTTTACCTAGATTTATTTGTTGTAATTTTTTTAAGTTAAAAATTTGAACTAGAAAATATATTTGTGTGGAAAAATTGAAAGATATATGCAATTTGTAATTTTCAAGTTGAATGATTTTTGCCTCACGGATTGTTTTGTGTTGCTCCCAGTCTGATTTTTAAAAAATTATGACTTGAATGAAAGTTTACAAAGAAATGAGCTTTTCCATAGTGCATGTCTAATTCCAGATTATTAATTGCATTATTATAATGTCTAGTGGTCCATCCTTTGCAGGTTGACCTTCCTTTCATCTATCCCAATGCATTGTTCATTATCTATCCATCCATTCTGTTCCTGCTTGGCTTTCTGTGCCAACTTCCCTTGTAACCCTCCTGTTTTTCTAACAGTCACACC